ACCCTAGTCAGTCTGCTATCGAGCAATCCTCGTTGCCATGGGGATAATCTCGAAAGGCCTCTCTCTCTCTCTCTCTCTCTCTCTCTCTCTCTCTCTCTCTCTCTGTCGCTCCTTGAAGTAGCACGCAAAATCCAGCCTTTCCAAAGCCGTTTTTCACGGAAACGGCCACCATTCTTCCGGGTCGGTTTGGGAAGCTCGTTGCATCCCTTGTTTTTCGTTCTAAATGAGAATTGCCTTTCCCGTTTTCCATTCTTTACCCCCGATACGTAAAAGTCCACACGAGGTTTTGCCAGGGATCTGTTAAATCGCGAGATGGACTGGTCCTTTAAAATAATTATATTAAATCGACTCCCGAAGCTTTTGGAATTTCAAACGGGCACCCCCGAGGCTCTCGAACATTTTCTAAGTGTTTATGTTCTGAAGATGTTTGAAATTCTTCTCGGCGCGCATTCGAAGTTCCTTACCCTTGGCCCAGCGGAGTCCTTAGACGAGTTCCGCATGCAGATTCGTAGCTTTCGTTCTCGAGTACAATGAAGTGTCGTTCGGTCGAGGTGTCTCGCGACTCGTCGCAGGAGTCGTAGGATCGTGCTCCGCTAGTTGGCTATACGGGCCCTCGCCGCCTCCGCTCCACAAGTGGAATCGATGGCAGACACGTGGTACTCGACTCTCCTCGCTCCAGCCACCCTCTCTCACCATTCTAGTTCCTTTTGTCGCGTCGCAGGCGACAGCCTCGAGGTCCGTCAAGGCCGACCTAAAAACTCCCGACTCGACCCTCACTTCCCGAAATCGATTCTCGATCCTTGCCATTTTCATTGAATCAATGCAGAGTAAAGGGTAAATCAGTGACGAGTGTCGTTCGAGGTAAAAGTCGGTAGTTCATTTTAATAAACAAATTTTTGTGTCTCGTCGATTTCGTATTTTAAGAAACTAAAATTCAGTCTTCTTTCAAATAAATCCAAACCGAGCAGTGCTAACGGCAAACTATTAATTTCCATTGGTAACGCGAGTTCGTTTCGCAGATTCGTGATTTATGATTCGACGATATTTCCCAGCTCAATTCTTCTGGACTGGCACTGCGTCTTCTATTTTACCGCGCCATTCGCGGAATTACTTCCTTCCTTTCTAAAACGCCTCTGCCTGGCTATTCCGGTTTTTTCCCAGCTGGCACACGCGTGTTCTCTGTTATTCGGCTGCCTGCATCCGGCCGGCGGTCCTTTGGGAAACGGGAATGCAAAGGAGAGACCCGGGAGCATTCTCTTGGCTCGCGAAAGCAATCCCACGTTATGGAACCTTTCGAGGCTTTTCCCTTGCGAAACACCCCGACGACCGCAGTGCCTTAAATTCACTTCGCCTTCAATTACCTGATTAGAAATTGGGCTTTCTTCAGTTTCCACTCACCTTCCTTCATTTTCTCCTTCTCTTTACTATATTTCTAATAAAATGTGTAAGGAAAAATATAAATGCATGCACAGCAATCTAGTCCTATGCATATTTGCAAAAATATATAAAATAATTGTTTGACTTTGCGAATTAAAAGTTTCCATAAGCTCCCGTGTTAAAAATAAGAATTTTCTAATGCATTTTTTTAAACAATTTTCACGGAAACCCTGTATGTTCTTTACGGAAAATGAAAGTTTGAAACTTTAACTATTATTTAGTTCAACTTGTATTAAAATCGTATGTTTTGCAAATGTTATCGAGCTACCTTAAAAATAAGAACGCTCGGCGATCGATGTAGTGACATTTCAATAACCGAACGATATTCCGAGTCTTTCCTCGGTGCACTTCAGTTATTCAGAGTCTACCGCCGGTTCTGCATTACGGCCACAGACGCGGCTCGAATAATGAATAATTCAAGTCGTTTTCGGAATCGAAGATCTTCGCCGTCCAATTAAGTGATTGAATTAATCAGGCGAACGCATCCGATCAAACGACTTCCGTATATCTCTCTTTCTTTTTTCTTTTTTAATTGAGGCTTATACACAGCGAGGAAACATTGATTAAACGCGACCTTCGCGGCGTGAGGGATTAAATTTGATACGTTCTCTTTCCGTTTTATTCTCCTCTTTTCCGACGTCAATGCTTCCGAGTCCATATGGTCGTTGCGCGTGCAGTCAGTCACGGCTTCAACTTTTATGGGAAACAGCTGCGAGCGTGCAATCTGTGCCACGATTCGGATTACAGATGAACAGTTTATGGCAATTGCATGGCGTGAAACGGGAAGTGGAAATGTTTCGGTGATTCTTAGCTTTTTGAAAGGAACTTTTATGGAACGTTTCTGGGGATTCGATAAGAATTATTGTTTCAGATAAATCATTTAAGATAAAAGACAAATTATTTAATATAAAATAAAACCATGATCTCGCGTTCGGTATTTCTACAACATATTTCCTACATCGTTTGCACACAGTAAATACGACAAAATTGGAATATATATTTGAAAATGCGTTTCACGTTCGATCTCAACTCTCGGTGTCGTCCGCGTCGGCAGTAGACGCCCGGTCTTCTCCATCGTCGGTCAGGGATTTGGTGGTACTTGTCTCGGTTCGTGTGGTCTCCTGGAACGTGAGGTCGAAATCGTCCGGGAAAAGAGACCGGTACGCGATGAAGTCTTCCTGTTTGCAATAGTTCGTGAAGAAGGTCAGATAATTGGCCTCCTCCTCGGTCGGCTCGGGCGGCGGCGGTTTCGCCTTCGCTCGCTGAAACCGCGGCGTCGAACGCCACATTAAAGGTCGACGCTTCGTCACCGGTGGTTCCATGACACGCTTCAGTGACGCCAGCAGCCGATGCATCAGCTCGAACTGCGATTCGAACAGGTATAGAGTTTTAGTCACTCGGAATTTTCGACGAATATCCTTGGTACGAATTGAGAAAGTGTCAGATCGGTGCTCGGGACGTTTCGTCTTTGAATTAATTATAATTTGTGTTCTCATCAGGTAGAATAGTTTTATGAATTGCATAAGAAAAGAGGTTTCGTATATAAATTGAGTGGTTTACCTTTTGAATTAAAAGCTGAGCAATAATTTGAAACTAAATATACTTGGATCCGATGCACTGGTCTAACGCGAAGTAATAATTGAATCATGAGTTTGATCGATCGTCTGACCTTCTTGGCGGCTTCCTCCGTTTCCTTCGTGGCTCTGAGCTCCTGTCTGAATCCTTCCTTTTCACAAAACTGTACCACTTCTGGTGGCAGAGTGTCTAACTGCAGGTTCAAATCCTCGTGGGTCTTCTCGATCCACTTCATCATCGAGAAACTGTCCAAGTTCGCTTCGTTCGGGCCGACGCAACTCTCGTACGCGTCTTCGACGAACACTTGGAGTCTCAATACGCTCTCGGAGCAGACCGCCTCCCGGAACGCTGTGTCCAACAGTTCGTTCGCGTATTCCTCTAAATCGGCCGCTCTAGTTTCCAGCTTTTGTATGTCATCCTAAAACGTGTTTGTTTCATATCTCGTAATTAATACGGATTTTGTCAATGAGATTATTTTGTACATCGCGAGCGTCCTTAATGTTCTGTACATTAAACTTTAACGTGAAAATGTTCGATTAATTTAGAAATTACTGTCAACTCGTTGATAGCACCGGTTATTTCTCCGACTTCCAGTTTGATCTGTTCCTCGGCCGTGCGTATCGTCGTTAACATATCGGCCAGTGGCTCTGCCAAAGATTCTAAGTGAATCAACGCGCTCAGGTTCTGCGTTTCCAGTGCTCTGAATACAAGAATCAGATCTTGCGGGTCCTTGAAGTATAATTCTGTCGGGCCTGCGTCGAGAATGTCCTGCTCGAACAAATCTGAGGAGAGTAACAATTTATAAATTGAAATTTCCGAAGATCATGTCTAGAAATAATTATCCTGACTCTTTCCGTATTTAAAAATTTGATACGATCTGTTGGCAACTTGATATCGTAAAATGAAGTGGCACTCCTGGCAAAGAAAAATATGTTCTCTAAATGTTTAGGAGAAATTCTAAAAAGTAAAATCGTCGCTGTTCGTAGATAGCAAAACTGTGACAGTGTAGGAGGGAATCACCTATCAGAGTGTCGAGGGAGGCAACTTCATCTAGCATTCGGTATCGACCGAACAGGTCGTCCGCATTTCCGTGAATAATGCTCTCCCCGGACTCGCTACGGTGGATCCAGTCGTGTTTCTCGCGCCATGCTATCGGCGACACCTGATAGAGGAACCTCTGGCACATTTTCACCATCCTCCAACTCTCCTCCCAATGATAAACGTCCAGTCTGACTTTGCCGAACTCCTTCGAGAGCTGGTTCCTCGTTTCGGTCACCTCCCTCGTCAGTTTCACCTCGTCGTCGGCTTTGTTGAGGACGTTCATGCTTTCCTCGTGGTCCTTCGACAGGAATTCCTCGAAGCCGCTCACGTATTGTCGGTATCGACGCTGTCAATTTTCACGTCCCGTGAATACGTTTCAATCGAATCGAAGTACGATAAGCTGAGTTGCAGCAAGTCTCTGTAACTGCGTAGAACAAATACGAACCTTGATGTCGTCTAGCCTCCTCTGCTCTTCGACGAACTGTTGGTCTATGCGAATGCAGTCGTCGGTCTGTTGACCGGCCAACAGCCGAGCCTTGAAGATCTGCCGATTGTCCTCGACGTAATCGAGCACGCAGAACTTCTCTTTGACCATGCGGCTGTCCAACTGGGAGAAGAACTGCGGATCCACGTCGGTGATGGCCATCGCTTCGTCCAGCTTCTTGTGCTTCTTCGCCTCCAACGCCTCGATGTCCACGTCCACCTTGGCAAAAGGAACATAATCGTTCTAATCTCAAGTAAGCAACCCTTCTGAAATCGAACAATTTTTTCTAAGTTCAGTCGTAGCGGTTCGTTCCGATTCCGTAATTATTATTTGTCTTTCGAGTTCGCGATTGAACACAGTTTCGAGTTTGTCTTTCGTTATTCAGTCAAATGAGATCGTAGCGCTTACACGAAGCGATCGTAGGAGACTGTGGCTGCCCGTAGCCTTTAGTACTCCCATCCTTTTCTCCTTGTCCGTGGTACGTTTCTTCGCTCGCCAGTATTGGGAGTAAGAGAACATTAAAGAGCAAGGTGGGTAAATGAACGGCGACTGCTCTTGGAGAACATCTCTAGCTTTTCCCAGATGTTCGTGACCCTTCGTGAAATAATACTGCGTTCTGCCATGAAAATTAAAAGTTCGATATCCTCTCGTAATCACTTATATAAATGGTTCGCCATAAAAGAGTACAAATCTTAATATTTATTTCTCATTTTAAATTCTGTTTAGTTATTTCTATCTATTTATTTAAATTAATTTCGATCGTTTCATAAACTTAAGGTAGCTCGCTATTTCGGTAACTTATCAAGGAAGGGCCCTACAATGGGCTTATTTTAAAATAAGAATATGAAGTGAAAATTTCATTATTAAATGTATATTATCATTTCCACATTCATATATTTTAATAAATAAATGGTTCGCCATAAAAGAGTACAAATCTTAATATTTATTTCTCATTTTAAATTCTGTTTAGTTATTTCTATCTATTTATTTAAATTAATTTCGATCGTTTCATAAACTTAAGGTAGCTCGCTATTTCGGTAACTTATCAAGGAAGGGCCCTACAATGGCCCTTTAAAATAAGAATATATAGTGAAAATTTCATTATTAACTGTATATTATCATTTCCACATTCTCAATAAATTTCACTTAGAAAATACCTAAAGAAATTGTTCCGCGGTTTTCTGGCAGTCATCGTCTTGCTTCGGCCGACGTTCCGCGGCCGGGCGGCTTTCGGCGTCGGATCGGTCATCCTCCCGTAATTCAGCTCGTGCTTTATTCAAACTGTCCGCTTTTCACCTGTCGGCCATTCACCTGCGTGGATGAAGAAAAGCTCGGTCCCCCTCATCGCGTTGGCAAAGGGGCGACGTCGTCGGCTCGCATTCGATTGAAAATTTTATCTCGGAGCGTCTGCGAGAGAGTTTGAAGTTGGCGGTGAGCCGATCTGCTGCTGCGTCGAGGCACACGCGGAATTTATTATGAGTGCTTTGATGTTACCGCAATTTCTGAGCAGATAATTTTAATATAAATTACTGCGTGTCGGAGGTAGTATAAATTTTAATGGACCGGATTATGATATTACCGTTCAACAGAAACAGATTATATTATTGATCCGTGCATACTGTGTATTATTGAAAACCTGTAGTTTCTTTAAACTTGTCGATGTATTTGTGTGTTATATATAACAAACGGTGTGCAGATTGAGAAATTACTTACAATTCTTGAGGCAGCTCCTTTTGCCAGCGATGATGTTTCTACGTTTAAGAAATTGTTTAAATAAAGAGGAATGGGTGAAGTTCGATAACCTGGCAGCTTTTTCTTAGCTGTCACCACGTTCTCAGGGTTTTAGACGTTGAGTTCAGCCGTCGTCAAGTCAAATTGTTTGGCATGCGCGAAGTGCGTATTTCTGAAGTCTAATTGTAAGAGTACTTATTCTTATTCCTCGAATCGTTCAGTATCAATTAGGTATTTGCTAGAGCCGACATAGTTTCGTTCTATTCCCGAAAGTAATCATTGTTAATATATTATGTTTCAATTAGTTTTATCAATTTCTTCGTTCATCTACCTTTGAACTTTCTTTATCGATCCTTTTTCAGGTTTCTGTTGCGAAGTAGATTTTATGAATTTCCTTGAAGTCGTATTATTTGTAGTTTAGAATTATAATTATTTTTTAGTTGTTAATTTTTCACTAATACGTAAAATCGATTACGTTAATTATTATTAATATCTTCTCGTGTACATTTGCAGATTCGCTGTCATCAGCATCATCGTTGAATACGTCAGATGCGAAATAAACTGTTTTATAAGTGCATGTACCATTTAAGTAATTTTTGTATATTATTGTACATATGAATTTTATTAAATAAATAAGTTATTTAAACTCAATTGCAAATCTCTTATTATTTCCCCTGATCTCTTATCCAAATCCTACTCCGTTGTTTTCAATTAAAATGATCAGAACCGTACATGACGGCATCAGCAGAAATTAGTGCCACCTCCTATGTCCTCATATTCTTCTGATATAAAGTCCAATTCTTGAGAAAAATTTTGAATCTGAGAATTCTTGGAAATGACGTCATCATCGGAAATTAGTGCTACCTCCTATACTGTCATATTCTCCTAATACAAAGTCTGATTTTCGAGAAAAATTTTGTCCAGTGAGTTAAGAACCTTTACTGCAGTAGCGTTCATCAATCACGATGGAGGATTGTTATCATGTTCTCCTAATACATAGTCTGATTTTGGAGAAAAATTTTCTCTCCGAGAATTCTTGGAAGTGACGTCATCACAAAGAGTTAATGCTACCTCCTATGCTATCATATTCTCCTGATACAAAGCCTGATTTTAGAGAATATTTTGGCCAAAATCTTGCTTTGTAATAGGAGAACATAAGATGGTAGGAGGTATCGCTAACTACTGTTGATGAAGTCACTTTCAAGAATTCTCGCTGGACAAAATTTTTCTCTAAAATCAGGCTTTGTATCAGGAGAATATGATAGCATAGGAGGTAGCATTAACTCTTCGTGATGACGTCACTTCCGAGAATTCTCGGAGAAGAAAATTTTCTCCAAAAATCAGACTATGTATTAGGAGAACATGATAGCATAGGAGGTAGCACTAACTACTTGCGATGACGTCATTTCCAAGAATTTCTTAAATTTCTATTCTATTTTATTTCTACTTGTATTAAATGAAGATATTAGGAGAAGGGTTTGGATGCTGGGAGAATTAAAGGTAAGTAACGAGACGTTTGAATTTTATTAAAACTATTTCTTTATTAATTAAAATTCATGAAATATACAACAATTTACAAAGAAGATTGTTTAAGTACTTCAATATGAATTTATCACTATTAATTTTATCACTGACACTGATGTAAGAATTGCAAAGGACTTTCTTCATTATCCTTAGAAGTTTTGAGAGATATCTGGAACAGACGGAAATTTTAAAATCATGTAAGACGAAAACGAGGGAAGGGAAAGTATTGTTACAACTCTAAAAGTAGAATAGATATTGTTAGGAAGCTCGAGAGACTCTTAAACGGATCCTTCTTGAATGTCTCTGAAGTTTCATACAATTCCGAATAGTAAGAACTTGAAAGGCACTTGAATAGATCCTCTCTGAACACGTCTTTAAAGTTTCGGAAAAATCGGAACGCGAGAGAACCAGGTGTAACATTTTTACGAGACTGTAATCATTACCTGCTTCCATCGAGACAAAAAGAAGATGCCTCTCGATTGAAGAGACCATCCAGAGACGGGAGAAGTCATTCAGAGACGAGAGAGATCATCCAGGGACTATTCAATGATAATTTAGAGATTAAGGGGTTATAAAAATGCGCGCAGGTAGAACAGATCGCGATTGGAGTCCACCGGGAGTTTTCTATCAATAAGTCTGACGCATCGCGACCATAAGCTGCTGCCAGTCCATCGGACTGCGAGGTGTTCTATCTACGCGCATCTGAAACGACGGGATCAGGTACAACGATATAATTCAATGAAAACAATAACAAATACATATATTTCTCGAAATATGATACACTTTGACGTTTTGGTGGTCGTGTTTAAACCCTCGCGTGTACTGCATGTTTCCTTGTTCTTCTCATTTTAGTTTCAAATGGATCGGATGTAATTAAACGGACGCGGCGACGTCATCTAAGAACTCTCCCGTTTACGTTGAAATGTTTTTACGTCTTTACCATTTTTTCGTTACCTCGTTTAATCATCGTCGTTAGACCCTAATTAGAGCAAAGCTGTCAGTTGCGCCTACCTGTGTTCTCTACATTTTTCCTCTCTACGATATCTCCCCGTTACAATTATTTCTCGTTTCTAATTTGCGAACTGTACCCGATTATTATTAATCGCCCCCGTTCTTCCACGTTTACATCGGTTAACCGCGTGACCGAGAAGCACACGCCTCACTGTTTTGTCATTGTTTGAAAACTTGAACTCGTGTGCCGAGACCCAAGACCGGCCACTTACAAAGCTACGACGTAAGTTTAATTAATAGCAACTTGTACTAGTAGGTACTTATACAAATATATCGATCATCGAGAAACGTGAACGAGTGTCTCTTCCTTTTCTTTGTCCCCTCGAAATTTTGCGAATTCGATGCAGCGATTCAAAAATAAGACGAACCTTCGTGGTGATCGTACATCATAGGACACCGTCGATTACCGGTTATTTGATTAAAAAGAATTCCTGGCTATTAGACGCGTACGATGCGTCGCGTTTTATGCTCGATGAGTCTCTCAAACGATAGGCACCGTACCAAGAAAAGGAATAGGATCGAACGCGTTTGAGAAATGGAAATAGGGCCGAGCGCGAAGATGCTTGTAACGCGTTCTTACCGGGAACATAACATGTGACACTTTTACTACAGCCACTTTTGTCAAACAAATATCAGAATAGTTCTATCACGTTTCTCACGCGTGGAATTTTCGATAGTGCACCATTACTTCCGTTTAATCGTTCTTCAAACATTTTTATTTCCTGCCTTTCGGTCGAGCAACAGGATTCACCTTTGTTCGCTTCTCATTAATGGACAATCAAAAAGGTCGCTAAGAACTGACAAAGCAATCGTTTAATCGCAAATCTCCCGCGACGCTTCGCGCCGTCTCTATCGCCTTCTACGCAAAAATATCTTTTATATTATATTTATACAACGTGCATAAAATCTCGGCAAAGAAAAGAAAATATATGCATACAATGTAACAATGCGTAAAACAATTTTCTGGATGACGCGCTTCATCATACACGAACTCCTGTCCAGCGATCCTCAGGCAAATGATTCGATCGACCCCATCGATGGATTCTTATGAACGAGAGAATCGACGTAACAAAATTAATGTACATACTTTGGGCGTTTACGAATTTACTTCATTTTCAGTATTTATACTTTACAGAACCTGTGTTCTATACATGTACACAAGTGTAATAATACAATAACTTCGTTCGAAGGAACGAATTTTTTTAGAAAAAACGTTGAACTTGTACTTTCGTAACAGGAGGAATCACTATTTTGAGGGTCGCTGAGTGATTAAAAAATTGGCAACCGTAGAACGCTAGTCGACGCTCGACGAGGTCACAGAAATGAAACAAACGAAAGGGGCATGTACAAAGTTTGGTTTCGTACATACGTACATGTAACATACAAATATGTATACAACTTCGAACGTCATACATCCGTACATCGGTTTTGCATACGATGCATGCGAATCGGAAGCGAGTCTGTCATTGACAAGGCCTTCTATAAAATTAATTTCTTCGTTCACCTCTACAAATATAGATTTATACGTATCTATGTATCCGTAAGCTCTTCGAGAATTCGTGTTGTCAGTGGTCAGACGAAAATCAATCGGGAAATCGTAACAAAATCGTTTCTACACTTCTGTTCGTCAGCCACTGGACGATTGACCGAAAATAGAATGAGACACTGTAACGATATTAAACCAAAGTAGATTCTAACGCAGAGCTTTGAACGATTCGTCAATCATAGATTAATTAATTTTCATTCAAGACTTCGACGAAATCGATAATAGTCATTATTTAATTCAGAATCTCCGAATTATAAAATTTCAGGAACTTATAAACGTGTGTACAGAAATTCAATCACTTCATAAGTAACGCAGTTCTCAATCTCCGAAACGAAATCAATTTAATACGCACATGTTCGAAATTAATTCAAGCTTGAATTCGTACAACGCTCTCGCTACTTATTGCCGTCCTTTTAATGATAATCAACAACTAGGCGTTTAATATAAAAAAATCTGAAACGCATATACACGTGGTTTTAATGCCGAATTCAGTAACGCCGGGAAAAATGCTAAAAAACGTGTGTATGTGTCCTTTGTGTCTGTGTATATTTAATAATTATACTCGATTATTGTCAGTGAGCGTTGCAACGAGCAGAATCGCTTATCGTTAACTAGAACGCATCGACGTTTACGCAAAAACATTAGCCGCGCGTGTACGTACATATATATTCTTTTATCCAGCCACGGAAAGTGGTCTCCGCTATTTTTCCAATAGAATTCTCACCGGAGGAAGCAACTACGAACAGAGATATACGCATCGCTTTGTTCCTAAAGGTAATATCCCCATCGCTCGTTTTCGTTTATTACTTTAACAACGATCGTGTATCTCGCGACCGGCACGTTTGCTTCATCGTGGCCTCATTGACAATGGAACGATGTCATCTGAATGATCAATTAAAAAAGTACGAAGTACGTCCCGATATACGAGCTCCCTACAATTTTGATTTATACAATTATAGATTGCGATACGAAATAACTAATGGTAGTACATTTACGGTGGTACTTAGTTAAAAATATTTACAAGGTAACAAGAAATATATACAGGGTGAACCAGGAGTCATGATCAATAGAGATTACTTTGTTATTAGCATTATCAGTTAGATCGAAAATGTGTTTATCAGGTATAGCATAGTTTCAAGAGAGTTTTCTATAATCACGCGAGAGCTCTCTTGGAACCATGCTATACCTGATAAAAACATTTGCGATTGGACAGTTAGTAACAGAATAATCTCTACTGATCACGATTCATAGTTCACCCTGTATATATATATCTCTATGTTTATAAAAAGAAAATAATGCGTGAATCCATTGTTCGACGAGCCACCGATCGTGTCGAAGCGCGACAAATGATAAAGTGACGCTTTCCCGCATCGGGAGCGACCAAATTCCTTCTATCCGTCGCTCAACGAAATGCGATTCATCATCGTCATCGAGTGGCATACGACCGAGCGCCGTAGATCAACGAAACGAGACGTTATACAGAGACAGAAAGAACGGTACGAGAGAAGTATGAACAGAGAGATAGAGAGAGACAGAGAGTGAGAGAGAGAGAGAGAGAGAGAAAGAGAGATTGAGGATAGATCGTAGACGTTATGAAAAAGAAAAGAAGCACTTGATCTTCTACCTTACTCGATAGAAACAACTAGAATCACTTGTATGTGTATGTGTGTTTGTGTGTATCTGTACCATCACCACTTGTGGGATACGCTACGGTAATTAAACGTTTCTTAGAGAACTAGGATCCTAGTCCGTGCGCAGAAAAGCGTCGTTCTCCGAACTTATTATTTTCTCTTCTCTAATTTTATCCACCTTTCTACGCCCAACGTACCGTCCGATCACGGATACTTTCAGGATTAGGCAGACACTGTACGTTCCGTACCATAATGGAATGATTTTCAATTGGCAAAATGAATCTTATATTGATTTTATAAAATCAAAAGATCGTTCGCTAATTTACAAATAATATTTGTGAAGAAAACTGGTTCACCCGCTATCGGAATATGAGAACGCGATGAATCCTTTGAAAAGTATTTACACGATCTTATTACAAAACCATATTTAAATACAAATATTAATCAGGATTTCTCGAGGGTGGACCGATCGAAATTAGCAGAGTATCCGCGATTGGACGTGGGGCCGCGTCGTGCAAGAACCGAACTGAATTACTCGGAGCCAGCACGTGACTAACGGTTTAAGGACCGCTCGCGGTTTTCGTTCCCAATTATTTATCATTTATTCGCGCGCATGTCTGCTATAACGTAATATCTTTCGTTGATTACACTGATCAGATGATTTTGGTGCGCGTGCCGAATGTTCGTACACGCTTTTGTTCGAAGATCTCGTTTCCAGCACTTCGACGCTTGTAACGCTGCATCGTAGAGATTCGTTAAATAATTCATCGATTCGAATTACTTTAAAAAAATAAATTCATTTTCCTAGGGTGTTCAACTGGTATCGACACTTTTAAACGTATATTACAGATTCTTACATCGAACGATAAATTGCACCGACACGATTCTTCATATGCGAATTTTTAAGATTACTAGGAAAGAAGCGAATCCTCGAAGTCGAAAGAGAAACAGAATGACTTTCGAAGCTGCGCGACGACGCGATCGATGGAAAGTCTCGATCGAATTGATTGACGTGCCCGGCGCGAAGGAAAAGTTTCATAGATAGGTGTCCGGAGGAGAATACTTACCTGCGCACCCGACAGCGATTCAGATTCGCGTTTTATACATTATTCAATTGGCACGCGCACCGATCATGTCCCGCGTGTATACGTGTATGCGTGTGTCTCTCCGCGTTTTTGCAGTGGTACCCGCTCACCGTGGCGCATCTTATCTACCCGATCAAAAATGGGACATCGGTACGCTGACTCGCTCGACGCTTTGACGATTATTGGAATCGATATCCTATTAGACAAGTCCCAGAATAATGGAATCACTTTAATGTTGACCATCACATTCACGATACCCGAACGGTATCGACGAACTTATGCCGAATGCTCACGCTTTCAAAACGCCTGATCGAAATCACGATGAGTCCTAGCGGTGCCCACGTTTCGAACGTTGAGCGGGCGCCACCGCGTATAGATAAATCGCGAACGCGTTTCTTGTACACGAGGCGTCGATCAAACGTGAAACGTTTCTGAAGGATCGATTTCAATGGAACGGAGATGCCGAACTGTTATCCTCGAATGCTCGATTTTCATCGATCCTCCGCACGCGTCCGAAAGTTTCGTCGACGCCCTTGTTCACGTGTCACGTGACAACCGTTCTTCTTTCTTTCTATCCAGCGTGCAAATCTCGAACTCAAATCACGTTTACGCGTACTTAAAATACGTACACGTGTGCATGCGTACAGGCGCGCACAGAGTCACACTTACAGACAGACGTACACGTACGCACTCCGGTCGTGTACGTAAAACGCGTGTGTATACATACATTATATATAATCTAACTATGCATATATCTATGTACACTTTTCTTTTAAATCAGGGAGTCCATGAATTTTCACGGGGTCCGTGGGAGAGGGAGGAAAGAGGGAACGGGATCGAGAGAAATATGGGGGTACGCGCGTGCGAACGGAACTGAGAAGAGGATGGATGAAATTATTTAAACAGAATGCGTTCTATCCTTTAGGTTCGGGTCCACTGGAATCGAAAGGGGATTCGTCTGGGTTTTACAAATTTCACGGAGAGGGGGTGGTCTTGCGATTCGGCGCGCTTCTTCCTTTCCTTCTTCTTCTCACGTATTCTTTTTTTGTTACTTTTTCTTAATTAATCAATTCTTCTTTCGTCCGGACTGGCGAAGAAGAAAACCTAAGTGCTGCGACTATTGGTGTGTGTGTGGGAGGAGCTGCTGCTGCTGCTGCTGCTGGCACAACGTACGCTCGTGTCTGCATCTTCTTTGATAGCGCGACGAGCCGTTGCCTGTTGCTGCTGGTCGGCGTACTGTTACACGTCCGTGTATTTGCTCAGCTTGTCGCGCAGCAGCATGTTCTCGTTCTTTAACCGGTCCAGCTCCTGCCGCAGGCCCATGTTCTGAAAATCGGAGGACGTGCTCTCGTTCAAAAGGATCGTCGAACAGGCTCTTATTAAACGTAAGTCCTAACAGAGATGATTTTGGGAATGATAGAACGCGACCGAGAAATGATCGTAATTAAGAGAATCTATGACGAGGGATAGGCTTATTCTTAATTTTCTAAGCGTGGGAAGATTTGCTCACTTCTTTCTCGAGGAAGCCGGCCCTGAGAGCGATCTGGTTCTCCTTCATGCGGCGTGCGTCCCGTGATCGTTTCGCTGCCATGTTATTCTTCCTACGACGCGCCCAGTATTTGTCATCTTTCAGGTCATCCGGAACGAACTGCGCGGTCATCGCCGGATCATGGAAAAAAAAGGAACAGGAAATTACGCGACTTCCAATTAGAATCTTGTTCGTCGTCGAGAGAGAACGAACCCGAATGAATATTCTATCGGCACAGGATTCGTCGAGTTAAACGCTGTTAAATACGATTTAATTTAAAATAAGCTATTTTACGCGATGTTACGTGAACGGCGAGTTTCATTTGATGATAGAAGTAAGAGAATGCAAACCTGCTTTCGTGACTTCTTGATCATCGGTTGCGGTTTGAGCTCCTCGTCGGAGAAGGCCCGGGTGCGTGGATCGAAGTCTCGCCCCGATGAGGCCATCGAAAGCGCTATAAGAGACAAGCCATATTGTATTCGTGTCGAGTCCTCGGAATCTGTACGCGCGAAGATGGAATAATCGACAATATTGACGTTAGTCTATGATTTTCATTCTCGCCTACCAAGATTTTTGCTCAGGAGTCGATCCTGAGACTTTGTTAGAAATTTACATACATCACCGCGTATCATTCGTCCCCCGTGTCATTCGTATTTCTAAATTTTCCTTACGGTGACAAACGAATATGATAAAATGATTTTTTTTTTAACAATCCCCCTCCGTAGAAAAATAAAATGACCAAGTTCTTCAGGATGGACCACCGAGATCGACGTATAATTGAGATAAAGAAAAATTAGGACAGGAAATTGGGGACTGAAAGTCGACTTACTGGAATCGGCGGGCGAGGGAGGGTTCATCGTGTCGGGCGAGCAACACTCGCTCGGCGAGGGTGATCTCTCGCGTTTGGTGACCGGTTGGAGTCCGGCCGGTCCTTGGTGCCCGGCCGTCTCCGTGTTGTTCATCTTGTGCAGCTGCCCGCTCTGCATCGTGCCCTGACCGCCGCCGGCCACGCCGTCCACGGGGATACCATTCTCAGATAGAAATTCGTCAAGATCCACGTACTGCAACAAACGGCAGAGAGCACCCTCTCTTTTGGTTTCGTCCTCCTCAGATAAACAATTCTCCTCCTCCGTTACCAACTCCTGCCGTCTTATGCTATTCGATGGTACGAAATGTCATGCGTATTCAGATTCATTAAGAAATTTGGGCAATTTAACGAGATTTATTCGTTTAACTGAATTATTGTGAACACATTTGAAACCATTTATTTAATACAGCATTCACGAAGAGTCATGTGCCCAGACATTAGAATTTTATTGGGTTACCAACTAAATAATTGCGGAGTTCGTCGACAGACTTCTTATTTAAAATCCGCAATCACTTAGTTGCCAATCCAATATTATAGTGATCATGTTCGACCAGGACTCTATATGAAACAGATTGAAGAGGGAAATAAATAGCTCAGGAAATAATATTAATTGAATGAACTCAATGATCAAACTCTGAATTAACAAAAGGGAATCCAAACTCATGGATATTTCGGATCCGCGCATTTGAGTTCCGGATAGTGAGCTTACCGTATCGCGTCTTTGTACATACATGGTTCAATACCTTCAGGTCGGCATCATAGGGCAGAGTTTTGTCCCAGAGGTTCGGGCCGAGGAAGGCGGCCTGCGCTTCCACGTTGCCCCACAGCTCTCCGTCCGCGTCCTTCTTCTCCTCTGGTCCATCTTTGCCTTGTTTCCCTACGAAATCAAATTCGACAACGTTATCATAGCGTCCCAAAACCATTTGAAAATTCGCGACATCTCACGAGCTTCTAATTACGTCTTTAATATCATTCAGAATTTTAACACGTTGACTGTCACGGAATTTTTCACGATTTCGGTCTAAAGAACCAATTTGATTTAATCATGTTATATTATTAAAAACAATAATAATACTTATTTCCTTGTATAAACTTTTTCTTTTTGAATAAACTTTGTATAATTGTATTTTCTGTTTATTTAAGCTAAACCGGATTTTTAATTCTCTTTCCTGAGACCATCTATTCATATTTACACTGTTATGTACAAATATGGCAAGTATTAAAGGGACGAGATAACTCGTAGTAGGCGTCCTGGGCAAGTAAACAACCTACAAGATATCTCATAGTTGGCAGTCAACGTGTTAACAACGTATTTTCTAATTCTGGTTCCTCACAAGAATTCTTTAAATCCGCTGCAGTATCGAGTAAGCGATTCGCTATAACATTTTTTTAGTTTACTTTAATCTCGACCGAGCGAAATTCTCATTTCCGCTCTCAATGAAGAGGCTCTCTTTCATGTTCGTTCTCCTCGACGACCACAGACAGACTTAGAACACGTGACACACTTCCACCGCCGGAGTTCTTTGCAACTTTTTCCGTGGACGAGGCGATGACGCGACACGAAGCGGTGTCGGAAACGGTGTGGCCGTCAGAAATTGCTTCGTGGAAGAAAAGAAAAAGGGAGGAGAGGACCGTGATCAGTCGGTGGCCTTGGAGATGCTCCTCCAAAAATAGTGAGCCAACCCGACGGCTATCTACTCTCTGTTTCTTCGCGTTCCTTCCGCGTTTAATTTCCACCTCGGCTGCCACGGCTCTCCTCGAGTTCAAAAATTCAATTCAATTTCGCATTCATCGATACAAGCATTTTAGATCAGAGGAATTACACGAACGACCAAAACTCGTTAAAAAGAAGAACAAAGTATTCATTTATATTTCTAATTTTATTGTTAGATTCATAATTCGCTGATTTCCATAGCACAACGTCATTTGTGACACGAAACATGACTTGCCCGAGTCGAAACTATCTAAAATATGATAGAAACGTTTTAAAACGCAATTCTGATCGCCAATTTCGATCACAAATAAAAACGAACGACTCTGTAGGACACAGGAGCCTTGAATTCGATCGGTCGTACCAATGCCTAGTCCCTAGGCTACTGGAAATTCTTTGAAACGAGTGAAAGAAGCTTTCACTTTAATATATCATTGCTTATCATTGATCGATATCATTTTCCTCATTTTGTCATAGAAATTTATCGAATACTATTTGTTAAGTTTAAAATCTCTGCTCTCTATCTACGGATCTTATTAATATATGATTTACAACTCTCATTTACGATGGGAACAGGTAATGAAAAGGATTATGGATCGTTCTCAAGCCTCGGGATTAGACAGAGAACGGTTTTACTATTTTTCCCATCCTTTTTCCAATGGGTGAACGCGACAAAACCACGTCCAATGGTTATTATCATGATGGCAGACCGCGTGTCGACGAGGTCGTGCCGCTACTGCACACCGTTTGATAGATTTCGACGAAACACGATTTTAATATTCATACTCGGTGTGCTAGTCACTCCCCTGATTATCGTTAACTACGATTCCAGTAACCGCGATTAATTCATATCTCACGGCGATGGATAATATCTGTCGTAATAGGTAATATCAATAGCAATGAATCACACTTCCAATAGAAATGCATATAAATATGCATTGCAATAAATCATATCCCTAACTGTAATGGAGAACGTCCGAACTCTTTTAATAGAGGAGTGACGATTTTTCGATTATCAAGATTCGCACCGTCATTGGCTCATGTTCTATCATTATCAGGCAGTCGATTTTTATTCATCGTACAGTTTTAAAAAATGGAAATATCCTTGGATTTTAAAAATCGTGTAAGTGACACTAGTTCCAGTTTTATACACGTTTCTCACAGAAATCAAGGAGCTAATGATCAGACTCATTAGACAGATGGAATACTAGTGAACGTTTGAAGAAGAAATTTAACGAAGCAAATTTTTGATCGAAGTAGAAGCATATTTACTGCGTCAGTATTAATTCAATCTGAAACATTTTTTCACTATCTTATCTCGCATTTCCATAGCATACAGTATTGCCCAAAAGTTTGTACGAGTAGAATTAACAGTAAGAAGGATGATGTACTTCTCATAATAATGTATTTAACATTCGAAATATAATCTAACTTAATGTTATGGTCTACCCTATGGTAAATCTACCCTATGTAATGTAATGTTAAGGTAAATGTTAAAATCTGACAAAATGGCAGATTTTTAAAGAAGTTGTTCGATTTCTCCTTAAAAAAATTGTCGATTTTTCGATAAAATTACAGTTTTCACCCAATCACGAATATCCTAGATCATTCAGCAATAAAACATGTCTAGAACACTGTTAAAATTTCAAATCAATCGGATAATTGGTGTTTGAGTTATAGTGTCAGCAAATTTGAGACATACCATTTCTAGAAAAACCAGTTCAATGTACTAACTATTACATTATTACTTACATTATATTAATACTATTAGAAGGCGAAAACTAGTTGAGATCTGACCTTGAAATTTTAGTATGATATTTTATATAAACTTTCGAAAAATACAAAAAAATAATTCGATTTTCTTTAAATTTCACACTGTTGAGGCCCCTTAATGTAGAACGATTGGAGGGCGGGTAACGTAATAAATAATAATTATACACATAGTGCCCTGTGCTTCCTGCTTCGAACCGATCAGGATGCTTTTTAAACGCCTAATAACGATATACGGAGACGCGTTTCTCCGTGGTCACCGGTTAAACAACTAAACAACGACAGCTCGCAATTTGGTTCAAGGCTGCTGGTCGTCGCCAACTCTGCGGAACTAATCTCGCGTTGCGTGGCCTGAGCCTGGCCTGGAACACGAGCAACAGGCTCGGCGAACGGTGGAAGGACGAATGGAAGAACGAAGAGGAGCAATGATACGCGGGGGGAACCGACTGCGAGGAATGCCAGTCTCAAAGAGTGACAGTAATGAGTGAAACTGTAAATCGGATTGATTGAGAATAATTGGAGAAATGATACGAATCGGATCTTATCGCTGTGACAGAGGATTATGATGTGGCAAGAATATACCACGATGAGAATTAATATACGAAGAATCTCGTATTGATTATGAAATATAAAAGTCGTGATTCAAACTATTACTTGTGTACCTTTTTAACCCTCGTCTGCTTTTACTTCCTCGACTTGCGCTTCTCTGCAAGCATTGAAAAGCACGTAATTCATATGGTAAAACGTTCTTCTGAAACTTCCATATAGAACGTGGAAGGCTAATTAAAAATATGAATAGAGTACGAAGTAACGGAGGACAGAAATGCGGAGTTAATTAACTGGAGAAAGAGGCGAAGTCGCAAAAGGCGATTGGGAATGGAGCTGACCGAGTTCCTATTCCAAGGGACGACGTAACGAAAGCGGAAGCACCGTAAAGGCTTGGGCGTCGAGGAATCCGATCGGTGAGACGGTTTCCGTTTAAGAGAGAACCAGTTCCACCGGTGGCCGACGCAGCCACTTCGTTAAACACTGAGAGCGTGCCTCTAATTACTACGTTCCCTACGTGTTTCCACCGCGCCCCTCCGCGCGGTTTGCCGTCATCCCGATTCCCCGTCCGAGATACACCGACGACGCTGTTTCCTTTACGTAATCGGCGACACGCGAACGTTTTACCTGGCTCAAGTACGCCATAGTGAGTCATCTAGGCATGTCCCGACGGAAGATGAAAAAAGTACTGAGATACGTCGCGCCGATCGAGTAATAAGAAAACTCGTCCAGAAACGTTTGAAAGTGGCCAGGAGACAGAAGATCATCATCGAACCGTTAGATATTATTTATTCGTTAGAACGACAAGAAATAGTCTATTGATGAATGAAATTTTCGTGGGAAACGATTGTTGTTAATCAAGTGCTCGCAATTGCGGCAAGAAAAAAACGGGAAAATTCCGAGTCTCGCTTGATAGATGGAAAACTTTATACACACACTAGATCTTGACTGTATAAGAAATTTGCGTGAAATCGCGAGCGAGTAATTTAATCTGAAACGCGGTAGCACGGTGGTACCTGGAAATTAACTTGACAGGTAATAACTCGCGGGGCCGAATAAAATATCCATTTAGAAGCCGGTCGAGTTTCACGCGGCTGAGACGAACAACGGTTATTGTACGTGGAAAAACCAGTCAGATCGTAGATAAAGACCCACGGTGAAAGGAAATTGAAAATACGGTTTTCATGATTTCCGCTGTTTTATCATGGCTACATATCAATTAAGTAGCTACGGTTTCCTAGCCTCGGTTAGAGTCAAATCGACCTACGGGAGGATGCCTACCTAACGTTACACTTTCATAATCTCCACGCTGATTCGATCTACTATAAAATATCATCTTCTTCAAAGTGTACTCAATGATTAATGTTGAAATTATTTGAGTAAATCGAAGAATTCTGATTTTCAATTATGTATGCGAGAGACATTGATTTAAGGTTGTATGAGCCTGAAGATCTCTGGCAAAAGTTCAAGACATGTAACAAAAAGCTGTGTCCAACATTTTAAGGAATTAACTTTTAGGAAAAATGATGATTACAGAGGAGTAAGGTTTATGATGTTCGACAAGTTCCTCTCAGTCATAAGGAATTTCTAATATTCCAATACATAGTTTTGTCATTTTTGTATTGGACTGTACGTGACCTGCAACTATCTACATGTTTCATAATTTTAATTTTTGCATACTTTTTGTTGTATATCTTAAATAATATCCTCGAAATTTACATTACTTCAACTTTGAAATATTTTTAGATCATGTATTAAGAATTACACAAAATTACAAAATTCTATCATTGTTGTATTCAAGATGTAATAACATTTTTAATAGGCTCGCAAAATTTCTAAAATTATGTACA